CGCAACGAGGTATTACCACTACGAAAAGAAATGCATTTTAATCATCAAAGTGAAAGCAGGTGTTGGCAGTGAATGCCACGAACCGTTGTTTGTACTCGGGTCTGTGTTTAATGTTTCACCACCTAAAAAGTCTGATATTATATTATGAAATTGTAAACAGCAACTATTTGCCTGACACTCAATAAGCGGAGGACGAATACCACATATATCAATCAATGCGAAGTAATTCGTAGTAAAAAACTATGTTTCTAAGTTTCTGATTTTCTTGTTGACAATGTTGAAGAGACATAAACACAGGCGCAGTTTTTATTGACGCATCATGTATATGTAATATGAGGAAAAATGCATTTTAAACAAGTTGTTTTTAATAAAAGAAGTAACACTTAAACAACCTAGTTCCAATACATATATCTATCAATGCAACATACTGAAAACAGTAAAACCTATACAGATTGAGCATACTGGGAGGTACAGTTGAATAAATGCTACTCCGTTTCGCTTGAAGGTTCCATTTGATATTTCAGATGACCTATTTCGCTTTACAACCTTTTAAAAAAATCGTAGACTGTATTAATATACTGACGAGATACATTTGTTTTGTTTACAGAGTGGCAAATCCAAATTCGATATTCTAATGACTGTAGCTCTTCCAGGGCAATAGAGGCGGTCGGGTAGCCTAGTGTTTAAAGCGTTCGCTCGTCACGCCGAAGACCTGGGTTCGATTCCCGACATGGGTACAATGTGTGAAGCCCATTTCTGGTGTCCCCAGCCGTGATATTGCTGGAATATTGCTAAAAGCGGCGTAAAACCATACTCACTCACTCACTCACTCCAGGGCAATAGTTATCTGACCACCCATGTACTGCACCCTCTGCCTCTTTGTCCGAGTTGATTTGTCAAAGTACTTTTGACCATCTGGCAAAGCAGTGTTCTTGTGAAAACGATTCACCAGGTATCAGTGTTTCATTTCATTAAACACGAGATAAACGCCATGATAAATGAGTATATTTAAAATGTTTAGTTCTGACAACAGGCACCTTCTCATACCTTGAAGAGTCAGATGGACGGATTTCGCATCTGAGGATACGTACAACATAAATACAGACCAACATTAACTCAAACTGTAGCGAATGTGGATGTGACTACAAGTAAAACAGACCGGCCATCAAGTTCAAACACAGTAGAGTATTATAACAAAACAAAATAATGTGTAATAAAAAATGCAAATACATACTATAAGGACAGCCACTCTATGTGATATCTTACTATCTTATATGACCGTCAGATGTAATACGACTGAACCGTACATATTAAAGGGATAGCCACACTATAAGATAAGCGTTACATCACAGTCAGGTGTTATATGACGGCAAGGGACAGCCGCACTATAAGATTATGATTCGGACCCTTTGAAGGCAGATCAACTGCAACGACAAACACGCGCTTTTTTGTATATCATTACAACATTAGCAATAACACTTTCCGAATCACTGATTTCAGTTGCGCAGTCAAAGATAAAATGAAATTACAAATAATGACAAAAATCAACAACCTACACTCACGTATCATTGTGACCATGAGGTGAGGTGAGGTGAGGTGAGGTGAGGTGAGGTGAGGTGAGGTGTAATGGGGTTGAACGTCTCGTCGAAGATTATTGCACGTAGAGAGTGACGTGCATGCACGTGTGTGTGTGTGTTTGTGTGTGTGTGTGTTTGCTTGTTTATAGCATTAACCCAATGAAATACCATGCCGCAGTTTAACATGATACCCCCAGTCAGTCACAGTATACTGACTCCGCGCTGACCAGTACGTGGTTTAGTCCCTTAATGCCGAGAACCAGCCAGGGTAAAAAAAGTAGCATCTGTTAACGTCTTTTGGTATGACGCGGTCGGAGATCGACCCGCCGACTTTCCGCCCTCCGGAGACAGTCATGTGACTATGATGTCATGCAGAAATCTAAACGCACCCGAATTTGACATTTCAATTATCTCTGTGTGCATGAGTGAACATCAGGTGACATATATTTTTGACCTAGTCATCCGTGTGGTTCATTGGGTTGAAGACTGTGGAGACCTTCCCAACCTACAACAATGGGAGTTAATTTCGACTATCAGTGCACAACCCATCTTTAATCCTCCACTGACGTCAAGATTCGTTACAACAGATTTCCCGAGCAGCTCACTGTATCGCATCGCATTGTTTGTTTGTTTGTTGTTTAACGCCGCACTCAGCAATATTCCAGCTATATGACGGCGGTCTGTACATAATCGAGTCTGGACCAGACAATCCAGTGATTGATATCATGAGCATCGATCCATGCAATTGGGATCGATGACATGCATCAACCAAGTCAGCGAGCCTGACCACCTGATCCCGTTAGTCGCCATTTACGACAAGCATAGTCACCTTTTACGGCAAGCATGGGTTGCTGAATACCCCGAAATCTTCACGGGTCTAATATATGCTTTTTTGCGAACACCCGGTGTCATCACTGAATTTCAGTGATCCAGTCATATATGTTCACCATTACTTCCTTTTTACACCCAATGGAATCTGTTTCGGCAGAAAATCGGATCTGATTATTCTCTGGCGTTGACGTTATATATGTATTACACTTGCAAGCGTTGGACTTCCGATATGCGCTAATACTGAAGTACCTCTGTGTGTCATCGGTTTAGTGATCGCACCGTTCTTCTGCTTGAACTACGTCACCGTTCCGCAAAGTCCGGCGGTCGTCGTTGTACAGAGTCATCTCAAGTTTTGTTAGATACTTAGTGACCCGACTATTTCATTCTCTTGTGATTTAACGGCACACTTTTACCAGGTATTGACTTGATGTTTGTTATCTCATATATGTTCGCTTCCTCACACAATCAATCATTTTATTTGAATTCCAATACATATAGGCCACAGTCCTTTGTGTACAAAAGTTGAGTACAGACAAGTTTTAGCTAGATTTGTAATAATATATGTATCTGGTGATGACAGAAGCATATTAAATTTATGAACGTTAGGATGACAATAGAACTTTGCTTTGAGATATAGTTGCCGTAAATTGACATACGATGATCGATGCTCATGATGTCAATCACTGGATTGTCTGGTCCAGACTCGATTATTTTACAGACCGCCGTCATATAGCTGGAATATTGCTGAGTGCGGCGTTAAACAACAAACAAACAAACAAACATTTGAGACCCGTGAAGATCCGGGGTAGAATATAGATCTTCAGCAACCCATGCTTGTCGTAAAAGGCGACTATCATCGGGTGGTCAGGCTCGCTGACTTGGTTGATGCATGTCATCGATCCCAATTGCGTGGATCGATGCTCATGAAGTCATTGCTTATCGGGGTAGAATTTCACATTACGTAAATATAAAACGTCGACGCCAGAGAATACCAAGTCTCGATTACCTGCTGAAAGAGACTCCATTGGACGTAATAGGTAAAAAATAGTGGTGAAAATTATATATGAATCAGCAATGACATCAGGCGTTTGCGAAATGGGTTTAGCATTTCCTGATCTATCCGTAGCACCCGCCACTCACACAATTCACATAAAAATACGCATTTTTTTGTTGCCGAACGCCGTAATTTCTTTTGCAAATGACGTCTCTATGAAGTTGTTTGTTTGTTTGTTTTTTACCGCCGCACCTAGCAATATTACAGCGATATGACGGCGGTCTGTAAATAATCGAGTCTGGACCAGACAATCCAGTGATTGACATCATTAGCATCGATCCAGGCAATTGGTATACGATGACATGTATCAACCAAGTCAGCGAGCCTGACCACCCGATCCCGTTAGTCGCCTTTTACGACAAGCATAGTCACCTTTTACGGCAGGCATGGTTGCTTAAGACCTATTCTACCCGGATCTTCTCTATGCAGTGAATATTTGAATGGGATCTGGTTACCCAGAACTCAATATCCTGTCACAGTAAATACACACTGTTGATACATCCTACACACCTTGTACATCCTCCGTCGTTATTTGTACCCAGTCAGTTGTGACTCGTGTACTTTTGTAAATAATTTTGGTCACCGATACATCAAATTCAAGCACGTCTTCCACATGCCATGCCACAATATTGAGGCTACGAATGTTATAGCCCTGATCAAACATTTTCGGCAACACCCATTTGACGCTCTTTGAAATCTTCGCGAAAAAGGGCATGCCCGATTATTCCCAGAAAGTTGTTAAATGTAGGCGGGAGGTCCTTAAATATTGCTCAAATTGACAATTGGAAAGTTGAAGTTATTCCTCCTGTTATACAGTCTTATGGGTGTTTTTGTCACTCTGAATCTGTACACATAGATCTAAACATTATATTTTCAGTTCAGATGGCTAAATCTGTGGAATGTAATTGGCTATGTTACCATTATTGCACGATATCAGACCATCGATATACCTGAAGCTTGATTTAAACTTCATGTTCAAACTCCCTGTGTTGATTTCCGAGCCAATCCGAGCAGAGAATGCATATTTGTGGCCTTCAAAGGCAGGCTTTTATTTTAAGCTCACATGCCACAATCGTTCTGTGAATACTGTGTATGTCAAGCTAATGCTCAGAAATTGTACTGATTTAATCACAAATTTCCCCGAAAACACAATGTTTGCAAAACAACAGTTACAATTTATTCCAGTACATCATATCATGTTCCCCCACAGTTATATTTAATACAGCAAATATTACGGCTAGTAAACCAATTTGTAACATTCGATGAGGCTTGTAATGTTTGAACTAAGATCTTATATTTCATACAACAATATGTATGCTTTGACAATCTTTGTTTTTCTGAAAATTATAAGATAGCTTTGATTATTATTACGAATATCCGTGCGTACGAATTAGATGGGCACTTCATTACACAGGGTTTAGCAGGTGAGCTACCATGTTTAATAAACGGAATGCATCAGCTTAAGAAGAGACAATTTGTTCATTTTCAAAATCAGTATCAAAGATAATCTTGTAATCTTTTCCACTGACAATTGACAGTAATGAAACATCGAAATGGCGATTTGTTCTTATTCCAGATGCAGCGACGAGTCCGGTAAGGCAATCGTGCACTCCTATCCAAGCAGGGTGAGTGACACGAAGATTTGCATGCAGTACAGGCCAGGTTACTTCCGACCAGGGCCTGCAGCCGTGGTGCACGACATGAAGTACAAACTGTGCCTCTCCGGGGATCAAGCTGGCTGTCAACTGGTGCGTGGAGTTCTCAAGCTTTTGTTTGTTTGTGTGTTGTTTAACGCCACACTCAGCAATATTCCAGCGGTATGCCGGCGGTCTGGAAATAATCGAGTCTTGACCAGATAATCCCGTGATTAACATCATGAGCATCGATCGACGCAATTGGGACACGAAGACATGCATCAACCAAGTCAGCGAGCCTGACCACCCGATCCCGTTAGTCGCCTTTTACGGTATGCATGGGTTGCTGATTCTACCCTGGATCCTCACGGGTCAGTTCTCAAGCAAATGTGGACACAAATATTTTATATTACATGTAGCAATGATACGGTTGTTGCTTACTTTAATTTAATTTATCAATGGTCCGTTTCTCTTATGTCAATACACCTATGGTGTTTGGTTCTGTTCAGTGAAGATGCAGTATATCTCAACTTATTTATGTGCGACGGGCACATACCAGTGTGAGGGTGTACATACAACGTAACGAAGCCCACCTGCCGTTTGTCCCCTGTCGCACCTGTTGTCAGCGTCTACAATCTGTTGATGATGAGACATGAACTGTAAAACTGTGTAAATATTACCGTAGGTTAGTTTTAAATAACTTCAGTCTAAAATTGGACACATTTCTGTGAACAGTATGTATGTTCTTCCTGCATGTACTTATTTCAAGACAACATGCGGAGTAACGGGTGACAGAAAGAAGCGTCAAACCAATGACGGCGGAGTTGAGTCAACAGCCAACACCACAGTGTACTTTGAGGATGACACCACGACAGCATCGCAAACAAACGGTAGGTTCTCTATCCATTAGGCCACGGAGATGGTTATTGAGGCGAGATATAAACGAAATTATTCGATGTAAATGAAGTTCAAATAATCGAGCTGTCACTGCTTTGGTCATGCATAAGATGTTAGGAAGGTCAGTTGGGTTTTGCACTGCTGTCAGTATTATTCTGGCCATATCACAGAGGGAATGCCTAGAATGGGCTTTACCCATTTTACCCATTTGGGGATAGAACCTAACGATCCACGATCCACTTACCTGCCCCATCAACAGAACCCGGGTTGATCTCTTTGATAGTCAAATTGTAGAAGTTCTACTGATGGATCAGAGAAGATATGATTTTCTTCCAGGCGATACTAGTGTTTCTCCAACAGCAAAGAATTGCCTTCCTGATATGTCTGTGATGTTCCCCGCCACCATCGTGGTCTTCATCGTCGCCCTGATACTCCTCCTGATCATTGTGTACATGTGTTTCCTGCTCATGAAAAAACGCGACGCAAACAAGAGGATGAAGACAATGAAGTGAAGTCCCAAAAGAGTCGCATGTCACACCGCTACTGATTCAGCTTAAGTCATAATAAACTGGAAATAGATATCATTTAATCGCACTGTCAAAATTTATTTCAATTCAACACACAAAAAAAGGAAACCCTTTCACACTTTTTAGATCGCACTAACACCCAGGTCAGTTAACACAGATCGCAGATTACATGTGTAACAAGGTCTCATTACTTACAACACACATTTTTCATAATGTTTACAAGACGCATGTTTCAAGCAATGAAACAAATGCACGCTTTGTTGGCACAGGAGGTTGTTTTTGTTAATGTAGTGTAAAGCACGCGACAGATTAGTGCACCTACATCTTGATCGTAGCATTTGAGTCCGGAATCGAAGTTGTTATTTGGAAAGTTTGCAGTGTTTCAGTGACTTTTCATCGTAAGGTTTTGACAAAGTCTGTAATTTTGGTGAAATCCAAATCTTAAGTGTATACTTTCTTTTGCCCAGCAATTAACATAAGTCTTAGGTCGTTGTTTTATGCCACGGTCATATTTTGAAGAATAAAAAATATACATTTGGAATGGTTTTGTTTATGTTATTTTTACAACCTACAATTTTGCCCCCCCCCCCCCCCCCCCCCCTCAACCTAACAAATCTTTAGCACTTGTCGTTGATAGAATTGACACAACGGCACGTATGACAATAACAATTGTTATCAGGTTTAAGCAACTATAATTTATGATTTTAAAGCGACTGTAATTTACATTTTTGTTCCTGAAAATCAATAATGTAAGGATGATTGTTGTTTATGAAGCAGCACCAGGCAACATTACAGTTTGGTTTGTTTGTTGTTTTACGCCACACTTAGCAATATTCCAGCTACGTGAGCGCGGGCATCCAGTGATTGACATCATGAGCATCAATCCACGCAATCCATCAACCAAGTCAGTGAGCCTGACCACCCGATCCCATTAGTCGCCTTTTACGACAAGCATAGTCGCCTTTTACGACAAGCATGGGTTGCTGAAGGCCTATTGTAGCCCAGATCTTCACGGGTCAAACAGGTTACAATAATTAATACATGTGTTTTCGTTTAAAGGTTCCATATAGATTGAATTATAAAAATAGCGGAGGACATAAGCAATTATATTCAGAGAAAGGCAAAGCTTTAGGTCACAAACGCAATACAAGGGGTCAAATATGTTGCAATAACTTACAGACCCATATATGAAATCGCACAGGCCGTGAAGATCCGGTGTAGTTTCGGTCTTCAGCAACCCATGCTTGACGTAAAGGCAATTAACAGGATCGGGTGGTCAGGCTCGTTGACTTTGTAGACTTATGTCATCGTTTCCCAATTGCTTAGATCGATGCTCATGATGTCAACCATTATATTATCTGGTCCAGACTCGATTATTTACAGACTGCCGTCATATAGCTGTAATATTGCTGAATGCGGCGTTAAACAACAAACAAACAAGACAAACACACATTGCACAGGCCTGTTCTGTTTTTGAATACTGTTAGAAACTGGCGGAAATACAGTGTCTTCAGAAAGGTATCCCATCCGCACTTGGCAAGTAGATCAGACGCAAGTCGGGTCTTATATGGGTACATTTGTGTACAATCAGCTTTCTGGAACCTCAGCCATCCCGAAACGTTTCGAACGACCAATCTCACATTTTGTACAAAGGATATTTTCTGTGTCCCTTCTGCTGAGGAGAACATGACAGTTACTGTAACTGTAACAGAACAGAAAGATTTGCAAGTTTGCAGTTTAGTCCTTATAATGTGTTGCTGTAGTGGTTATCGACTATTACACCTCCTCAAATCATATGGTGAGGGTTCGAGTCCCGCTTTCGATTCGTGTTTACCTACAAAATATAAAATCACTTGAGTGTCAATACAATAGTCACATCCATTGATATATCATCAAGAATATAACCAATGACGATCAAAATATATTTCATTTTTTTTATTATTTTCAATTATTTCACAGATTCATTTTTACAGACGGTCCCAAGGATGGTAGCAAAGTTGCAAGTGCCACCATCATTGGACCCAAAACTGTTTCCTCAAGAGTCACAGATAATAGTTCAAACTCCACTGCTGAGGTCAAACCTATCTTAACACCATTGACTTATATTGAACAACAACGATATTGTTAAAAATCATCATATGTTGAGATTCCTCGTCTGGCTTGAGGCACTTACATGCGTCTCTTCAAATAATCCTGTAATCCTTAACATTTTAGAACTATATACTGATCTTTCTGCTGGTCAATGTGACATCGTCGTTTGTTAATTACCAAGTCATGTAGGCATAACTGGTAACTAAACAGTCGATAATGCAGCCAATGCAGCTCTTAACAAACCGCTATCTCCACTCTTTATTCCATACAGTAATTTCAAACCAATAGTTATACTCGGGATCTTATGCAATAAAGGTGGGACACCTAGGTAGGAATAAATAAACTTCACGAATTTAAACCAGCAATTGGTCATACATTCTTGGGTTGTCAGTCAAGACATGAAGAGGTCATGTTCCGACGATGTCGTATTGACAACAATCGGTTTACCCAAGAATATCTGCTAACAGCAGATGGGGACGAACCTCTCATGTATATCTCTTGTGATTGTAAGGTTCACCATCAAGCATATTTTGCTTCACTGTGTGGACTTTCCAATCGCAAGGAATTTACATTATCAAAGCATAAATCTGAAAGATCTGTTCCCCTGTAGTCCAAGTTTCATAGCTGCTTCACTTTAGACTTTCAACACACATATTAAGCTGGCACGCCATGATATACATGTAATTAAAATACTGTTCAAAGAGGCGTAAAATCCAATTTTTACAGCGTGCACACCGATTCTCACGTGTATACTTCCATTGTTCTGTCGCCCCCAAATATATGAGCAAGCTTATCAGCGACAAAAAACATTTCCATAATCATATGACATATCTGCTAAGACCACAGTCCATTGTACGATTACGACTATATCATAAGCATATGTTTACAAATCGCTATCAAATAGTGATGATACCAGTTGTTCACGAAAAGGCGAGCGTATCCTGTCCCACTGGGGGTGCCCGTCACAAGAACATGCAAATGCAAGTCAATTGGGTTTTTCTGACAAAAATAGGGAATTGCACCGGGAATTGATGCGTCATATTTGGACATTTTAATATCTGACTCTGAATTAATATCTAAATTTACAGTTAAAACATACTGCAATAAACCTTTCGGAGATCAATAATGTCAAACTAGAAGAGTCAATTATGGTATTGAATGTACCCTTTGTGGATATATTTATGTTGGAGCGGTAAATAATCTAGTCTGGACCAGACAATCCAGTGATTGACATCATGAGCATCGATCCACGAAATTGGGATAGATGGCATGCATCAACCAAGTCAGCGAGCCTGACCAACCGATTCCGTTAGTCGCCTCTTACGACAAGCATAGTCGCCTTTTACGACAAGCATGGGTTGCTGAAGACCCATTCTGTCCCGGATCTCCAGGACTAAATAACCATTGGGACTGCACAAAGTGAGAACAAGAGTACCGTACTCTGTGTCACTGAAAGAAATTAAACGACTCAAGCAACTTCTGCTGCTGGGTGGAACTACAAACAGCAAGAGCCCACAATATCGACTGGAGGGTATAGTTCTTGATAATTGCTTTGAAACGTTTGGACAAACCAGAACCAGACTCCCCTAAATTAGACAAAGACCGCATGTTTGTGAATTTAATATTTGAAAACAAGCAATTTAAGTAACAGTCTCAGAGAAACATCAGTTTCACACACTATTTCAAATTTAAGGAAACAATAATTTCATTTTCCTGTACGATCACCATGTCATTCAAAGTTGCAGAACGTGGACTCATGATGTAAATTCCACTACTTGTGGCTGCCAAGACTCATCATACTGCTACACCTGTAGGTCATAAAACTACATGTGACCTCTCTATTGTTGACAAACCTTGTCAGTTATTCAAATATGGACCAAAATTATATGCCAATAAATCGGCCAAGAGAGAAGACTCACCTATCACAGCGGGTTGAGTCATGTTAGATGTTGATGGTAGATGTTGATAGAATGCACAAACTGCATGACCAGCTATATCAGTGTGCACAATTTTATTTGTATTTTTGAATTTTTCAAATAGTTTTTAAGAAAAAATATCCTCTTTAAGAAGCGGACGTGAAGCCTTCGTGGTGGGGATAATAATGAAACATTTCAGGTCAGTTTGTTAACCGATAAAGAAACACAGTGACATGCTGGATTAGACGGATTGGAAAACAAGTTTAGTAATGTATTGTAAGGATAGTTTTTAGCGACGGTGTTTGAGTGACGGCTCATCAGCCTCAACATATAAACTATTGATAGAAGTTCGGAAGGCACCAAGGCAAAGCCTCAGACCTTGATGGTGAATACTATCTAATTATGTTATATTACTTTTACAGGCCCCACCATAGATGATGGAGCCATAAACAGTTTAGAGCGAATGAGTGGTCTGTACATTTGGAGGAGCGTTTTCTGATCTCCTCCCCATTTTGAATTGATACGACCCTCAGCAAATCCAGGGCCTTTAGGCATCTATTTTTTAAATATTTGATGTGAGGTAAAAACCTCAAATTGCTGTCAAAAATTAAACCCAAAAACTTTGCCTCCTTGACAGCCTTTATATGATTACCGTCCAAAACTAATTCTGGGTCTCTATGAGGTTTGTATTTTCTACAAAAGTGAATACAATTTGTTTTAGATTTTGAAAATTTAAAACCGTTTTCTAAAGACCATTTATGTATTTTATTTAGATATAATTATATTGTAATTGTCTTTCAATAGTATGCATATTTTAACCACGGCAAGATACGTTAAAATCATCCACAAAAAATGACCCATCAACTGAATCATTTAAAACTTTAGGGAGGCTATTTATTTGATACAAAACAATGTGACAGACGCAATACTGCCTTGTGGGACACCCTGATCCTGATGATAATCATCAGACAGGGTAGAACCCATGCGGACTTGTAACTGCCTGTCAGTTAAAAACCTGGATATAAATTGAGGCAAACGGCCTCGCAATCCAAAACCATGTAAATCTTTTAAAATACCGTGTTTCCATGTTGTGTCGTATGCTTTTTCTAGATCGAAAAAGATAGACACTGCATGCTGCTTGTTTATTATTGCATTCCTAACGAACGATTCCAATTGAACTAAATGGTCAATGGTAC